CATATTACGGCTCACAAACTTCTTAAGACACTTACAATTAAATATGGTCACTTTGAACTAATCAGTAGCGTAGCTAGCTCTACAAAAAAAATGTTGGGCCTTTAATTCTACACAAAGAATTTAAGTGATTTACCTCAGACTAAATGAAACTTCTAAAACGAAGGTATTTAAAACTTAGGAGATTAGCTTACCCATATTGATAAGTTGCTGAGCTGTAAGGGACTTTCTAAAACATTGGGGTGGTCTCTCGAAACCCCCCCCCCAACAACCAACACCACACTCGGCTGTACTCCTGCTTATATACACAAAAGCATGAATAGTACGCCATAAATAATAGATTATTTCAACGGTCGGTACGACTCACTAAAAAAGAAAGAAAAACATTCCTAATTGTAAGCTATGAACATGTTAATATGTTGTAAAGTATGTTGTTAAATACGCAGCTTGGTGGTTGCTATAGAATTAGCCTTTGAAAGTTCTTTACACTTGTAGAGATATGGGGAGTGAGCCATCTTAAAACGCTACAGGATCTTTGACTTGTTAAAACACTATTTATATCAGAAAAAACATTAAGGATCACGGAGCCTACGTTAAGGACTTTTTCACAATCAACCAATTTCGATTTTGAAATTTACATTAAACAGTAGTGCAACTCGATAGAAATTAAAATCAGGCTATTCTAACGTAACTTGCACAATATTTTTCCCTTAATAAAATTTGTTTGTTGAATTTTGCGATAAGCTGCACGAGGGTTATCTGCATTAACCGTCCCTAGATTTGAAATAATAGATTATGGAGAAAGACAGATAATCAACGCCACCCACTGTGCTATTCTTTTTAGACCAGATAGTGAGATTTGACCGTCACTGTTAAAATACACAGTCTACCCCATGTATGGAACGCTATTTTATTTTTGCGATATCTGAACGCGAACCACAGAACCTCAGCTTCACAATCCGGCGCATTAACATCTTGGCCACGCTCGGCCCCCTCTCACGTGCTGTGAATGTTTCCGAAAAATCTACAGAACAGTACTAAATCACGAGACTCCTCCATCCATAGCCAAGATAGTATTTCTACAAACCCTGTTTTGTTTACCTAAATCAGTCTTATTACGTTTAGTTTGATCAGATTATAAATCGCTTTT